ATCTGATAATCATTTCCATGCATCAAACTCCCAAAATGAGCAGTGATAATGACCAAATAATCTGTTCTTTCAGTGATGTTAGTTCAGAAATAAGTATTGTCGGGGAAACATCCCCTGTCCTTCCGCGTAATGGTGCTATGAAATCTTTTCTGTTTTCCCACGTAAACATGGCAGTGGTTTGACATGGATATGACGTACAGGCTCACGCATCTGGGTGATATCTCCTCAGGAGCGTGCAAGGATCTTATGCCAAACAAAGATAACGAACTAGAAACAGTCATAACTAATGGGAAGAAGAATCTTGTCCTTATAGTTGTTGTTATTTGAAGATCAGCTCTTAAAGTACACAGGGGTGCAGGTACATTCACCCTGAAGGACCTCAGCCCATGCCTGAAAACTCAGTTGCTGGTGGAGGGTGGCTTCAATCAGAGAAATTTCGCCCCTGTCCATGGTAGAGACAGAATCTGTGAGGACCTGCTCTTCAAATCACAGCTGGCACACTCCTCTCCAATCTTGCTGCTCCTCAAGAGGTAGAACTACTGATTGGAGAATTCATGAGGGTGAGCAAGTGGAGCCCTTTGATTGGAGGATTCATGAGGGTGGGCAAGAGGGGCCCTGTGATTGGTGGAGCTTGGGGGGAGGGCTTATTTTGGCCACTCCCTGGCCCTCCCACAACCAATAAACAGCAGAGATTCTGGAAATTAGAGCAATAACTATTCTAAGAGAAGGGGACAGGGGAGCAGGAACCCTCAGGTCAGACGTGGGCTTGTCCATTTTTTAAATCGAATCTCATATTGTTAAATTTGAGTCATCCAGCATCATCTGAATCTTTCCTCTATAATACCTGTTTGCAATCAGACTATGGGAGATTTAGTTCTCACAAACTAACAAAACCATCTTCTTTATAGATCCCAAGTTAAAAGGTTTCATATCTGTAAACCATCATTGCTATATGTACTGTATAAAGGTGAACATCCTAAAAAACATTCAACACTTACTTGACTATGTCCTATGTCCCAGCCCCCTACCCCACACACCAGGCCTTGTTACCACATAGCCTGCCATTACACACCCCCTGTTGTTAGTCACTAACAGTCCCCATTAACAACTATTCACCCTCCCAGCCTGATCGTTAGCAACTCCTTTGTCTGTCCAACTGCTCTTCTCTCTCTTTGGGCTCTATCCTATCGTTTACTCCCTACCCCACCCACCTCCCTACTTTCTGCATATAAACTGACGTTTTCCCAGCCACCATTAGTTCTGAGGAAGGGTCACCGGACCCGAAACGTTAACTCTGTTTTCTCCTTCACAGATGCTGCCAGACCTGCTGAGCTTTTCCAGCAGCTTTGTTTTTGTTCCTGATTTACAGCATCCACAGTTCTTTCGGTTTTTATTGACTATGTCCTTGCTTACTATGATCTGCCTGTACTGCTCGCAAACAAAGCTTTTCACTGTACTTAGGTATACTTGACAATAAATCAAACCAATCAATCAATTATGACACCTTGAAAGTGTCGATATTACAGACGAGGAGGTGCTGGATGTCTTAAAACATATAAAGGTGCATGAATCCCCAGGACCTGATCGGGTGTACCCTAGAACTCCGTGGGAAGTGATTGCTGGGCCCCTTGCTGAGATATTTATATCATCGAAAGCCACAGGTGAGGTGCTGGAAGACTGGAGGTTGGCTAACATGGCGCCACTATTTAAGAAAGGTGGTAAGGAAAAGCAGGGAACTACAGACCAGTGAGCTGATATCGATGGTGGGCAAGTTGTTGGAGGGAAACCTGAGGGGCAGGATTTACATGTATTTGGAAAAGCAAGGACTGAGAAGGGATAGTCACCATGGCTTTGTGCATGGGAAATCCTGTGTCACAAACTTGATTGAGTCTTTTGAAGAAGTAATGAAAAGGATTGATGAGGGCAGAGCGATGGATGTGATCTATATGGACTTCAGTAAGGCATTTGACAAGGTTCCTCATGGTAGACTGGTTAGCAAGGTTAGATCGCACTGAATACAGGGGGAACTGGCTATTTGGATACAGAACTGGCTCGAAGGTAGGATGCAGAGGGTGATGGTGGAGGGTTGCTTTTCAGACTGGAGGCCTGCGACCAGCGATGTGCCACAAGGATCGGTACTGGGTCCACTGCTTTTCATCACTTATGGAAATGATTTGGATGTGAACATAAGAGGTATGGTTAGTAAATTTGCAGATGAAACCAAAATTGGAGGTGCAGTGGACAACGAAGGTTACCTCAGAGTACAACGGGATCTTGATCAGATGGACCAACGGGCCGAGGAGTGGCAGATGGAGTTTAATTTAGATAAATGTGAGGAGCTGCATTTTGGAAAGGCCAAATCAGGACAGGATTTGTACACTTAATGGTAAGGTCCTGGGGAGTGTTGCTGAACAAAGAGACCTTGGAGTGCAGGCTCATAGTTCCTTGGAAGTGGAGTCACAGGTAGATAGTGCATTGAGTATAGGAGTTGGGAGGTCATGTTGCGGCTGTACAGGACGTTGGTTAGGCCATTATTGGAATACTGCGTGCTGTTCTGGACTCCCTGCTACAGGAAGGATGTTGTAAAACTTGAAAGGGTTCAGAAAAGATTTACAAGGAGGTTGTCAGGGTTGGAGGGTTTGATCTACAGGGAGAGGCTGAATAGGCTGGGGCTACTTTCTCTGGAGCTTTGGAGGCTGACGGGTGACCATTTAGAGGTTTATAAACTCATGAGGGGCATGAATAGGGTGAATAGACAAGGTCTTTTACCCAGGGTGGGGAGTCCAAATCTAGAGGGCATAGGTTTAAGGTGAGAGGGGAAAGATGTAAAAGGGACCTAAGGGCAGCTTTTTTGTGCAGAGGGTGGTGCGTGCGTGGAATGTGCTGCCAGAGAAAGTGGTGGAGGCTGGTACAATTACAACATTTAAAAGGCATCTGGATGGGTATATGAATAGGAAGGGTTTAGAGAGATATGGGCCAAATGCTGGCAAATGGCACTAGATTTATTTAGGATATCTAGTCAGCATGGACGAGTTGGACCGAAGGGACTGTTTTCATGCCGTACAGCTCTATCACTCTATGACAATTGCAGAAGGTGATGTTGCTGTGCGACTGCATCACCTCATGAGGGAGGGAGTGCAAATTAAAACAGAGGCCCTCAAAATGCAGAAAACACCCTTGAAATGGTTCCTGGTGAGAAAACATATTATTTGACCCCAAGTGAGGGCAAAGTGAATCACAGAATCATACAGTAGGCCCTTCAGCCCGTTGAATCTGTACTGCTAAAATGATGCCATGACTCAATCAGTGTCTCTGCAGTGAAGTCAGGTCTTCACTGACACTCCTGTTGTGATCTCTAAGCAGAAGTAAATGAACATTGAGGATTGAATACACAGTCTGGGCTCTCTTTGGATCTACAGGAGTTGACCTGTCCAGAACTAATGTTTGTTGGCCAGGTCCCTGCAGATCTAGAAACTCACAAGAATTCACACATTCCAACCTTAGAACTAAAGACTGTCATGCAATGATGATTAACCAGCAAAGTGCAAAGACAATCATAAATGACAGAAACAGAAATAATCCCAGCAAAAATCTAAACTTCAAATGCAACCAAGAGCGTCGCAACCTCACTTCAAGCAACACTCCAAAACAGACCAGCCACATTGTGTAGGAACAAACAGACATCACTTATCATTAGAACGAATATAAATATGTCTCATTCTGCCTCTGAAGTTGCAAGACACAAAATGCAACAAGTCAGTATTAAGCAGAATATACTCCAATTTATAACCACCATATCTACCAGTCTCTACATGGACAGCAAAACCTCACAAGTCTGCTCTGATAGCTCATTACTAGACATTAATGCAAACTGCATGTTTCAGTCTCACAGGGCATGAAGCCACAGAGACTATTTGAAGATTTTATTCACTCTGTTTCTAACCCACTTCAGGTGATTACTCCGAATTATATATTCCTTGTACACAAATATTCTCAAGTGGTTACTATTTTGTAACTAATCTCACCTATCCTTTGTGTTAAAATCTTAAACCATCATTTATTCAATGTGTAGTCATTTCAAACTATCCATTACTTTTCATATTATCAGACAGGATACATCAAACATTAAGAACAAAACTACACCTCCTTCAGTTGTCATTGAAATGTAAAAGGGACAACATAATCTGCAATAACTCCTAAATCAACATTAGTTCTTACATTTCAACTCGATATCAGCCTAGCCAATTTGGAATAAAATAGCAGGTGGACAAATCAAAAATGTTGTTGATGCATTTAAAGATTTGCAAGAACACGTTGCATAGACTCTATTTGTACTCTTGTGAGTCTAGAAAATTAAAGATGTTAAAATTGAAATAATGTTGTCAATAAAAGGATGTAATGGGACAGATAAAGAGAGAAGCTATTTTCTCTGGCTAAGTAATCTAGAACAAGAGGGCAGAATCTGAAAATTGGAGTAATACCAACTAGGGGCGATGTATATAAACACTTCCTAACACAAAACAGTTGGAAATCTGGAAATTTCTCCCACGAAAAGGTTGCTGTCACTGAGCACCAATTGAATATTTCAAATCTGAGAGCAAAGGATTCTCATTAAGCAGAGGAATTAAACCTTACAGAATCAAAGCAGTTGCACGTTGCTGTAAAGTCAATTACTTTGTTAAGTGTTAAGAGAACCAGGTGGTGGCTATTAATTATTTTTGAGCACATAGAAATAGAGGACAACTGGGGCATAAGGTGTGGGGTGAGAGCTGTGATTCTGAGCAAGTAATTAAACTCTCTCAGCAAAGAACAGCGATGTGTTTTGGTTTCGGATCCACCAACAGGTTTTGATTCCATCAACAGTTCATGGAACTAAAATGTAAATCAGTCATGATCTGATTGAATGGCAAAAGAGGTTCGATGAGATGAATGGTCTCCCTCTGGTCCTCTGTTGAATACAGCACATAAACAGAAATAAATTTAATGCATTTCAATCTTACTTGAAATTCGTCTTGTAAAGCTGTAGCTGGACCGTGACGTATCTGAGGAACTCTTTCTGTCAGGAGAGATGCCTTGGGGAGTTGGTGGAGGATCGCTGTTAGCATTCTCAGCATCTGTTTCCTGGTCAGTGTTACGATCATTTATTCTGTTCAATTAAGAAGGTTTTTTATGATTCTAAAGTATGCTTATGAAACACTGTTTACTTAATGATTTATACAGCACAGCAAAATACCTTGCTCAATATGGTTCTGCCAACTTGTTTTGTCTTTAAAATTTTATTTGGTGGTGTCTGTCATTGTTATTCCTGAACTCACTCTAATATAGTGGAACATTTTTCTATAATGACAGCAAAAGGATTCAAACAGATGTTGAAGTTGATAGTTTTACAATCTGGCCTTCAACTTATTTCATTGTACCATATTTATTATTCCTGTCATACACACAAACAAGCTATCTCCTTTAACAACAGTGATCACAACAGCAGGTCAGAGGCTAGGAATCCTGCAGCAAGTAACTCACCTCCTGACTCCCCGAAACTTGTCCACCATCTACAAGGCACAAGTCAGGAATGTGGTGGAATACTCCGCACTTGCCTGGATGGGGGCAGCCCCAACAACACTCAAGAAGCTTGACACCATCCAGGACAAAACAGCCCACTTCACTGGCCCATTGACAAACACCCACTCCCTCCTCCGCTGATGTGTAGCGGCAGATAGAGCGGGAGCGGTGAGAGCGAGGACCAGGGGGCTGCCAGGAGGTAAGTTTCCCAGTTAAAAACTTACCTTGTGCAATCAACGGCCTCCATTTTTTGCAGTAGCAGCAGTGGGAGCAGTGAGCGCGAGGGCCAGGGGGCTGCCGGGAAGGTAAATTATTCATTTCGGCAGTGGAGCTCAGTGGGAGCGGTCAAATCACGCTCTCGGAAGGTGAGTGAGCTGATATACTTGGGCACCCACCCTCCTCCCCTAAACAAAAAAACAGATTCTGGTGTGTTGATAAGGTAAGTGTTTTTCTTTTTTTATCGTGTGCTGGTAAGTAGAGTGATTTGGTACAAACTTTTTTCATTTCATTTATCTAGTATTTGATATTATAGTGGGACTAAGTTAAGCTTAAGAGTAAAAATAGCAGGAGATCCCAGGCCCATGTTATGCTCCTCTTGCTCAACGTGGGAGCTCAGGGACGCGGCTGATGTCCCTGACTCCTACACGTGCAGGAAATGTGTCCAGCTGCAGCTCTTGTTAGACTGTATGACGGCTCTGGAGCTGCGGATGGACTCGCTTTGGAGCCTCCGTGATGCTGAGGAAGTCGTGGAAAGCACGTTCAGCAAATTGGTCACACCGCAGATTAGGATTGCTGAGGGAGAAAGGGAATGGGTGACCAAAAGGCAGAGAAAAAGCAGGAAGGCAGGTGTCCCCTGCGGTCATCTCCCTCCAAAACAGGTATACCGTTTTGGATACTGTTGGGAGAGATGGCTCACCAGGGGAAGGCAGCAGTAGCCAGATTCATGGCACCGTGGCTGGCTCTGCTGTACAGAAGGGCAGGAAAAAGAGTGGAAGGGCTATAGTCATAGGGGATTCGATTGTAAGGGGAGTAGATAGGCGGTTCTGTGGCCGAAAACGAGACTCCCCTATGGTATGTTGCCTCCCAGGTGCACGGATCAGGGATGTCTCAGATCGACTGCAGGACATTCTGAAGGGGGAGGGCGAACAGCCAGCTGTCGTGGTGCATATAGGCACCAATGATATAGGTTAAAAAACGGGATGAGGTCCTACAAGCAGAATTTAGGGAGTTAGGAGCCAAGTTAAAAAGTAGGACCTCAGAGGTAGTAATCTCAGGATTGCTACCAGTGCCACGTGCTAGTCAGAGTAGAAATGAAAGAATAGGCAGGATAAATGAGTGGCTTGAGAGATGGTGCAGGAGGGAGGGGTTCAGATTTTTGGGACATTGGGACCGGTTCTGGGGGAGGTGGGTCTATTATAAATCGGACGGTCTACACCTGGGCAGGACTGGAACCAATGTCCTAGAGGCTGCTTTTGCTAACGCTGTTGGGGAGGGTTTAATCTAATGTGGCAGGGGGATGGGAGCCAAATGAGGAGGTTAGTGGACAGTAAGGAGGTAGTAACTAAAGCCTGTAAGGAACTAGATAATGAAGTCAGTGTGACTAAGGGGAAGAGTAGGCAGAGAGCAGATGATGAACGCAGAGGGACAGGTGGTCTGAGGTGCATTTGTTTTAATGCGAGAAGTGTAGTAGGTAAGGAAGATGAACTTAGGGCTTGGATTAGTACCTGGGAGTACAATGTTATTGTTATTACTGAGACTTGGTTGAGGGAAGGGCAAGATTGGCAACTAAATATCTCAGGATATAGATGCTTCAGGCGGGATAGAGAGGGAGGTAAAAGGGGTGGAGGAGTTGCATTACTGGTCAAAGAGGATATCAAAACTGTGCTGAAGGAGGGCACTATGGAGGACTCGAGCAGTGAGGCAATATGGGCAGAGCTCAGAAATAGGTAGGGTGCAGTAACAATATTGGGGCTGTACTACAGGCCTCCCAACAGCGAGTGTGAGATAGAGGCACAAATATGTAGACAGATTATGGAAAGATGTAGGAGCAACAGGATGGTGGTGATGGGAGATTTTAATTTTCCCAACATTGATTGGGATTCAATTAGTGTTAGAATTTGTAAGGAGCATCCAGGAGGGTTTTCTAGAGCAGTATGTAAATAGTCCAACTTGGGAAGGGGCCATACTGGACCTGGTGTTGGGGAATGAACCCGGCCAGGTGGTTGAAGTTTCAGTAGGGGATTACTTTGGGAATAGTGATCACAATTCCGTAAGTTTTAGAATACTGATGGATAAAGACGAGAGTGGTCCTAAAGGAAGAGTGCTGAATTGGGGGAAGGCCAACTTTAGCAAAATTTGGCAGGAGCTGGGGAATGTGGATTGGGAGCAGCTGTAAATCCACATTTGATATGTGGGAGGCTTTTAAAGAGAGGTTGATTGGAGTGCAGGACAGACAAGTCCCTGTGAAAATGAGGGATAGAAAGGGCAAGATTCGGGAACCATGGATGTCAGGTGAAATTGTGAGACTAGCAAAGAGGAAAAAGGAAGCATACATAAGGTCTAGGCGACTGAAAACAGACGAAGCTTTGGAAGAATATCGGGAAAGTAGGACCAATCTGAAATGAGGAATTAAGAGGGCTAAAACGGGTCATGAAATATCTTTAGCAAACAGGGTTAGGGAAAATCCCAAAGTCTTTTATTCATACATAAGGAGCAAGAGGGTAACTAGAGAAAGGCTTGGCCCACTCAAGGACAAAGGAGGGAAGTTATGCGAGGAGTCAGAGAAAATGAGTGAGATTCTTAATGAATACTTTGCGTCGGTATTCACTGAGGAGTGGGACATGATGAATGTTGAGGTTAGGGATAGATGCTTGATTACTCTAGGTCAAGTCGGCATAAGGAGGGGGGGAAGTTTTGGGTATTCTAAAAGGCATTAGGGTGGACAAGTCCCCAGGTCCGGATGGGATCTATCCCAGGTTACTGAGGGAAGCGAGAGGGCCTTAACAGATATCTTTGCAGCATCCTTGAGCATGGGTTCGACCAAATTTGGGAATACTGCGTACAGTTCTGGTCGCCACATTACCAAAAGGATGTGGCTGCTTTGGAGAGGGTGCAGAGGAGGTTCACCAGGATGTTGCCTGGTATGGAGGGCGATGGCTATGAAGAGAGGTTGAGTAGATTAGGATCATTTACATTAGAAAGACGGAGGTTGAGGGGGGACCTGATTGAGGTCTAAAAAATCATGAGAGGTATAGACAGGGTGGATAGCAAGAAGCTTTCTCCCAGAGTGGGGGACTCAATTACTAAGGGTCACAATTTCAAGGTGAGAGGGGAAAAGCTTAAGGGAGATATGCGTGGAAAGTTCGTTACACAGAGGGTGGTGGGTGCCTGGAACACGTTGCCAGCGGAGGTGGTCGAGGCGGGTGCGATAGCATCATTTAAGAAGTATCTAGACAGATACATGAATGGGCAGGGAGCAGAGGGATGCAGATCCTTGGAAAATAGGCGACAGGTTTAGGTAGAGGATCTGGATCGGCGCAGGTTTGGAGGGCTGAAGGGCCTGTTCCTGTGCTGTAATTTTCTTTCTTCTAGACTACAGAAATTCACCAAAGATCCTTAGAAAGCACCTTCCAAACCCACGACCACTTCCATCTAGAAGGACAAGGGCAGCAAATACATGGGAACACCACCACCTGCAAGTTCCCCTCTGAGCCACTCACCATCCTGACCTGGAAATATGTAACTGTTCCTTCAGTGTCACTGGGTCAAAATCCAGGCATTCCCTCCCTCAGGTCTCTGTGGGTCAACGCACAGCAGGTGAACTGTAGTGGTTTAAGAAGGCAGCTCACTACCACCTTCTCAAGGGCAACTAGGTATGGGCAATAAATGCTGGCCCGGCCAGCGATGCCAATGAGCAATGAGTGAATAGAAATAAATAATTAGGGCAGAATTAGTGCTATAAAGTTTTTCTCCATAACTAAGTATTTACTTACATTACAATGTAGGCCCAGCGATTTCACCTTTTACGATGGAAAGATGTTGTAGGGTGCTGCCTAAATGTGAACTTGCATCTGTTTCTAACTGATCTACAATCTCCCCTCACACCCTTCTAACATGACCCCCCAACCTTGCTGTCTCAATTCTACTTTCACCAAACTCTTGACCACCCAACTCCTCCTCTGCTCCCTTTCCCTATGGTAGCTGATAATGACGATGAGGTCCCTCCATCCTCTCTTTCAAATCTCCTAACATTACTCTCCTCAAAAGAACCCCTTCTTTAGCCCCTGTCCTTACAAATCAATCTCCAACCATCCTTCTTGTCTTCCCCTACGTGTCATCTCCCAAATTCAGTCCCATCTTTCTTGACACGTGTGTGAACCTTTCTGATTATGTTTCCACCCCAGGCCACTACTGAGCTGTCCTAATCAACATTACAAGGAGGGATTATACAAATTAGGCCTGTTTTTGCCAGACTGTAGAAAGTGAAGGGGTGATCCGATCAAAGTCGGCAAGACATTAACAGGAAAGGATAGGGTTGATAAAGATAAACTACTTCCACTGGTTGGGGATTCTACAACTGGGGGGCGTAGTCTGAGAATTAGGGGCAGACCATTCAAGAGAGATATCAGGATGCACTTTGACACACAAAGGGTGGTAGATGTTTGGAACTCTCTTCCACAAATAGCAGTTGTTAATTTTAAATTTGAGAGAGATAAATTTTTGGTAAGCAAATGTATTAAAGGATATGGTTCAATGGCAGGTATATGGAGTTAGGCCACAAATCAGCCATGATCCCACTGAAGACCATCTGGATGTGTATATGAATAGGAAGGGGTTAGAGGGATATGGGCCAAATGCTGGCAAATGGGACTAGATTTATTTAGGATATCTGGTCAGAATGGACAGTTGTACCGAAGGGTCTGTTTCGGTGCTGTGTATCTCTATGGCTATGAATGGTGGAACAGGTTTGAGGGGCTGAATGGCCTACTCCTATGTAGAAACCCAGTTGCAGTTTACTGTAACTCTCTTTTTCAGTGTGCAGCATCACCTTCATAGCTTTCAGCAGCAGCTTTTTTTCACTTTGGGGAGTCCATCCCTGAACCTCCTCATACTGTTCCCACTTCCCTCACTTTCAAAACCCTCCTCAAACATTCACCCTTTTTACATGTCACCTTGGCTTCTTGCTGCTGGAGGTAGAAACACTGTGTTTAGGAAGTCCTTTGGGTGAGGTGCTACAGCTGACTGGTG